CGCGCGGGTTGAACGGTCCGTCGCGGGCTGGGTCGCGGATCTGGAGCGGCGGAACGCGGCGCTCGTCGACGCGTGCCACGACGGCGCCCTCGCGGCCTTTGGCGACGCGGCCGACGCCCTCGCGGCGCGGCCCTACGACCCGGCGCTCTGGTCCTTTTCCCGCGCGCTGCCCGCGCCGGACTTCTCGGGGTGCGCGGGCGCGCCGACCGCGCGCGTCGCGGCCGCGGCGGCGCGGGCGCGCGAGAAGCTCGCCGCGGCGCGGGCCCGGGCGCGCGCCGCCGTCGAGGACGCCCACGCGACCTTTTTCTTCGGGTCGTCCACGGTCGCGGCCGCGAGCCTCTGCCTCTACAAGTGCGCGCTCTCGGCGGGCCGGTCGCTCGTCTTCCTCCTGCTCCTGGCGTCCCTCGCGGGCCTGGGCCGCTTCCGCCTCCTCGGCGAGGAGCTCGCGACGCCCTGGGGCTCGAGGAACGCGCAGCTCGCGCACGGCGCGCTCTTGGTCGCGGGGCTCCTCGTGAACCTCGCCGCGGGCTCGCGGAAGCGCCTCAAGTCCAGCCCGGGCTCCTTCCTCGGGAGGAAGGACGACGACCACATCCTCTAGCGGGGAGTTTAAGGGTGCCAATTTTCAAGGCCAGGTTCGTCCGCGCCGGGACGCCGTCCGGGCGCATGGCCGGTTTGCGCCGCCAAGACGTTTTCGGCGACGGCCTTGTGGACACATTTCTCGCACTTACGGCTCCTGGGAGGAGACCAAGCGCTTGCGAAGAGGTGAGAGGATGCGTGACCGCTTCGTCGTGATCGCGGCCTTGGCGGCCGCCTACGACCGCGAATCGTGCACGAGGCCCGGGCGGTACGTGACGAACATCGGCGGCGCGATGGTGCAACAGTTCGACGGCCCGTCGTTCTTCACCTACGACGGCGCGTGGCGCACTCGCCACAACGACACGGGGTCTCGCGACGAGCTTCGTCGCAGCGAGGCCTACGCCTGGACCGTCGAGCCGCCATGCGAAATCCGTTTCGGCCTTGATTACGTGGCGACTGTGATTGAGAAGCTCGAGCGCCGGGCCGGGCGGAGGCCGAAGATCGTCTTAGTCGGCGACTCCATCACCGCCAGGCAAAAGATCTTGAGAAAGCAAGCGATAGGCGCGCACTTCGAGAGCGTGCGAGCGGACAAGCTCAAGGAGACGATACCCCGCAACCGGGAGGAGCCGAAATTCTCGCGCGAGGCCTGGATCCGCGATCGCGCCTGCCCGGCGGACGCGTTATTTGTGAATACCGGTGCCCACTTTCACGACGTGGGCGCATTCGAGGACGCGTTCGCCTCATTCCTCCGTGCCTTCGACGCGTTGTGCCCGACGAAGCCCCCGGTCGTGTTCCGAACGACGCCTGAGGGCAACCCCGGGTGCAACTCGAGGATGCGCGTTCGCACGGAGCGCGAATGGGAGGAGCAGGTCTGGTCCGTCATCAACGGCTCCCGGGTAGCCCCCGCCGATGGGCCGCCCTTCCAGACGTCATGGTCGTGGGACTTGTTTCAGAAGTTCAACGCCGCCGCCTATCGCATCGCCGCGGCCTACGACTGGGTCCACATCGCGGACGTCGTGCCCTTGGCGCGCCTCCACCCGGCGGCCACAGTGTCCATGGGGACAACGCGCGAGGGCAGCCAAGATTGCCTCCACGGGAACCCCGCGGTTCCATGGTACAACATCCTCTCGCTCAACGTCCTCGAGGCCGTCCTCGACGCCGCGCCGCGCGGCTCCTCGTGAACCTCGCCATCCTCTAGCGGGGAGTTTAAGGGTGCCATTTTCCTTTCGTGACGCATGCGGCAAAGCCGCGCGCGCCGGAGAGGCTCCGCGGGCCAGCCGCCGGCGTCGGCCAGGCTGCTTCGGCGACTTCGGCAGGGACTTCGGTCTCGTCAAGGGGATCTTCAAGTATCGATACTTGAAGATCCCCTCGGTCTCGTGCTCATCACTGGATGCCAGAGGTCCAGAAGCTGCCGCGATGGCCGCGGCAAATGGTGTTGCAATGGGCGCAATGCGTAGATTTTCAGCCGCGCGAGCGCTGGCGCCGCGCGCAGCCACAGCACGCGCACTCGTGCCAACGTCGACGCGCTGCGTAACGTCGCGCGCGGCCGCCGCGCGCGCCGTAACGTCGCGCACAACGCACCGGTGGCGCCGCGCGCCGTGCCGGCCGCTCTCCGCGGGTCTGAAGGCCGCGGCGGACGACGAGGGCGGCGGCCTCGCCGACGAGTACAGCGGGACCATGGACGGCTCCAGCGGCGAGCTGCACGTCGTCGAGTCCTTCGAGCTCGAGAGCGGCCGCGTGCTCCGGGACGTCGGCGTCAAGTACAAGACGTGGGGCGCGCTCAACGCGGCGCGGGACAACGTGCTCGTCGTCTGCCACGCGCTCACGGGCAGCCACGAGCTCGAGCTCTGGTGGGGCGACCTGCTCGGGCCCGGCAAAGCGTTCGACACGGACCGGTACTTTGTGGTCTGCGTGAACACGCTCGGCTCGCCCTACGGGTCCTGCTCGCCCCTGACGCCCGACGGCGACGCGGCCGACGGGTCGGCCTACGGCGCCCGCTTCCCCCACGACGCGACGATCCGCGACGCCGTCGGCCTCCAGGCGCTCGTCCTAAAGGACGCGATCGGCGTCGGCCGCGTCGCGTGCGCCGTCGGCGGGTCCATGGGCGGCATGCTCGCCCTCGAGCTCTGCTACCAGACCGACGTGCCCGTCGAGTCCGCCGTGCTCCTGGCGACGAACGGCCGCCACGGCGCGTGGCAGATCGCCATCTCCGCGCTCCAGCGACAGGCCGTGTTCTCGGACCCGAAGTACGCGGGCGGCGACTACGGCGACGACCCGCCGGTGCGCGGCCTCTCCGTCGCGCGGCAGATCGCCATGGTGTCCTACCGCACGCACAACGCCTACGAGACCAAGTTCGGCCGCGAGTCCGAGGCCGGCGCGCGCGAGGGCGGGCCGCGGCTCTTCGACGTCGAGTCCTACCTCTCCTACCAGGGCGCCAAGTTCATCCAGCGCAGCTTCGACGCCAACTGCTACGTGGCGCTGACGCGCCTCATGGACTCGCACGACGTCGCGCGCGGCCGGGGCAAGTACCCGCACGTGCTCCGAGACGTCGCGCAGCCGACGCTCGTGCTCGGCATCTCGTCGGACGTCCTCTACCCGCTCCACGAGCAGCAGGAGCTCGCCATCCACCTCGCGAACTGCCGCGGCTTCCACGCCATCGACTCCGACGAGGGCCACGACGGCTTCCTCCTCGAGCAGGACGCGGTCACGCGCCACGTGACCGCCTTCCTCAAGGAGACGTTCCCGGAGAAGTATGATTAAGTACGCACCCCTAGCCGCCGCGCCGCTCGAGGCGCCGCTCCGCGGCGTTCGTGACCTTGAGCGCGCGCTCCGTCGGGCGGGGCGGCGTCGCGTTCGCGAAGCTGATCGTCGCGAGCGGGAGCTGCTTCGTGACGTATACCCGTCGTCGCGGCGGCCGTCGGCTTCGGCACGAATTACGTGGGTGTGCTAGGCGCCGCCGCTCTTCTTGCGCTTGAGCCTCGGCTCCGAGACGGTCGCCGGGAGGGCCTCCTCGACGCCCTTCATCGGGCTCGAGCCCAACGCGCCGTCGAGGATGGACCGCCGCTCGCCCGTCGGCGAGGCGGGCGCCGCGGGCGCGGGCGCCGCGGGCGCGGGCGCCGCGGGCGCGGGCGCCGTGGGCGCGGCCCGGGGGTCGAAGGTGATGGTGGCGCAGAGGTGGTCCGCGAGCAAGGCGCGGAGCTGGCGCTCGCCCTTGCCGTCGCGGTCGATGCCCGCGTCCTCGAGCGCCGTCTCGAAGTCGGGGCCGTCCATGGCCCGCACCGTGGCCTCGGCCCGCTCGTTGGCGTCGTGCGCGAGCTGCGCGGCGTGGCCCGCGAGGCTCGCGAAATCGTTCGCGGTCATGGGCTGCTCGAGGTCGAAGGTCGTCGTCGAGGCGCCGACGACGCGCAGGTAGTCCAGGCTGAACTGTTCTGCACAGACGAGCTTGCTCTTGGGGTCCGTGTTTGTTCGCGCGCACGCCTCGAGCACCAGGTCCTTGGTCGAGTACGCCGCGAACGCCACCGCGATGTCGCGCGGTGCGGCGGGTGCGGCGGGCGCCGCGGGCGCGGCCCGGCGGCGCTGGAGCTCGCCCTCGGCCGCGCGGCCGCGCGAGATGAGCCGTTCGAGCTCGGCGTCGGCCATGTCCTCGAGGTCCCGGTCGGGCGCCGTCGGCGCGCCGGCGAGGTCGTCGTCGTCGTCGTCGCGCGGGACCGGCGCCGGCAGGACTCGCGCCGGCTCGTAGAGGCGCGCGTCGGGCAGAGATCCTTCGTCCGCCTTGTCGGCCGCGACCAAGGCCGCGACCGCCTCGCGCCAGAACGGCCCGGACAGCGGCCGGCCTTCCTTGGGATTCTCGAGGAAGGCGCGCTCCTCGTCGGGCGTGCGCCGCGACTTGCGCTCCATGGCGAGGAAGGCGTGCGCGGCGACGTAGGCCGCGTGCTCGTCGTCGGACGGCGGCTTCTCGGCGTCGGCGACGGCGACGGCCGGGTCGCGCCGTTCGTCGAACGGCGCGGCTTTCGCCAGGGGCGCCATGCGGTACAGGCCCGGCGGGACGTGCGCGGCGCCCGCGGCCGCCAAGTTCGAGACGGACCGCGCGCACGTGAAGCGCACGAGCTCGGCGAGCTGGCCCCCGAAGTCCGGCTTCGTCGTGTCCGCGGTCTTGTACTTGTCCGGGTTGGACTCGTCGCCGAGGTCCCCCGTCGCGACGGCCTTGATGGCGAACTTGATGGGGTTGTGGGCCCACGCCTTGCGCAGGCCCGCCGCGCCGCCGCCGAAGCCCTCGGCCGCGACGCGGATCTCGACGAGCTGCGCCGCCGTGTCGAGGATGTTGCGCGTGTGGAACGGATTCGTCTCGTGGCGGCCTGTCCCGTACGGGCCGAACTGCATGGTGCCGTCGACGAAGGTCTGGTTGACCTTGAGCGAGCCGCCCTCGCGCCGCGCGACCATCATCGCCTTCTTGCGCCGGTCCCGTCCGGACTTGCCCTCGAAGCAGAACTCGCGGAATAAGCCGAGGTCGCCCCCCGGCTTCGCCTTGAGCACGAAGTCGAACGAGCCCGCGTCGCCGCGCGCCTCGACCGAAACCGGCGCGCGCGCCATGTTGACGTCGAGGAAGCCTTTGACGAGCACGTTGAACGTGGCGAGCTCGACGGCCTCGACGGTCTGCGCGAGGGTAAAGTTCTCCTCGAGGAAGGCCGGGACCAGCAGCTCCACCGCGCGCATGTTGTAGACGCGGAACGCGCGGTACGCGTCGCCGACGCCGAGCAGCGCCGCCGCGAAGCCCGCGCCGATGGAGTAGGTCTCGAGGTCGACGCCGGCGTCGCCGCGCGCCGTGCGCTCGACGTCGCCCGTCCCGTGGTCGTAGGCCTTGGTGGCGGCGGCGTCGTCGTAGCGGTACGCGTAGAACGCGCGCTGGTCCTCGTCGAGCTCCGCAATCGTACACTCAATGTCGAGGTAGATGATGCCGGGCGCGCCGTCGAGGCCGTGGCCGACGGCGACGTGGGCCCGGATGCCCTGGCGCGGGCCGGGCTGGTTCTCGATCGTGACGAACGGCTGCGCGATGACGTAGCGGACCTTCGACTTGACGCAGACGCCGAAGTCGCGGACGAGGGGGTCCTCGCGCACGACGCCGCCCTTCCGAGAGAGCGTGGAGATGTTGCCGTCGTAGAGCTGGATCTCGTTGGGAAATCTCGTCTGCCGCATGAAGTACGCCACGCCGCCGGCCGACCCTTGGCTCACCTTGCCGTGGCCCACGTGGATCATCAGGCAGGGGCCTGTGTGGAAATCAACCGGACGTCGGGGCCAAACTTTGAAACTCTCGAGCTCGGTCAAATCGAAGTCGATTTGGCTGATTTTTGGACGGATCGATTGCTCTCGCCGAGTTCTCGAAGTGCGACCGAAGAATCTGGTCCGAACCGTTCGATGAAGCTCACGTTGAAGTCGGGTTGAAGATTCGGGTTCCACGCCGACAGGCGCTCGCGCCGTCGTCGAGGGCGAACTCCTTGAGGTAGCGCCAGCTCGGCAGGTCGCTGAGCTCCTTGAGGAAGTCGGCCTCGGGGCCCACGAGGATGTCGCCGGCGCCGTTGGACGCCCAGGGCTCGGGGAGCTGGTAGAACTTTCGATCGGGGTCGCGGCGGAGCGCCGCGGGCAGCGACTCGCGCCACAGGACCACCGGGATCGCGGGGGGGCACCCCTCGACGTAGTCGCCGTAGGTGTAGCAGGAGAAGGAACTCCGCGTCAGGTCCTCGGCCTCGTGGCCGAAGTCCTCGATCTTCGACCCGTCGAAGCGCCGGATCTCGCAGAACGCGCCGCCGGCGTCGAGGACCTCGACGTTCCACCTACGATGCACGACGATTTTCGTTGTTGTTCCGGCGAAAATCTCTCGAAAGTCGTCGCGGCCGAGAGGGCGCTGGCGTCGACGCGTGCTCCTCGCGCTCCTTCTCCACGGCCGCGACGCAGCCCGCGCAGCTCCCGCAGTACCGAATCGCGTCCCGCGTGAAGAGCGCGGCGACGGGGTGGAGCTTGTCGGCGCCGAGCGCGAACCACTCGCGCTTGAGGTCCTTGAGGCAGTTGGCGAGTAGCATTTTCTTGCCCCCCCCCCGGCCACCCGTCACGAGGGGGTAGTAGAACTTGATGGCCTCGGCGAAATCGAGCCGGGTCCCGGCCTTGTGGTGCTCCTTGAGCCGCTCCAGAATGCTCTTCTTGAGCGCCTCCAGCCCATCAGCCGTGCGGAGGTCCATGGTCTTCGCGTCGGCGGCGTCGCGCTCGGCCTTGCGCTGCTCGCGCGCCTCCTTGGATCCGTCCATGCATCCTCGCGCGTCCGCGTCGCCGAAAACATTCTCGCCCGTGTAGCTCGGCGTCGCGCTCGCGGCGCGCCGCGGCCGCCCGGGGCGGCCGCCGCCTTCCTCGCGGCCGCCGCCGCCGCGCTCCGCGTCGCGGCCGCGGTCGGCCATGGCTGCTTGATGTGCTTGCTGCTGATGAACTGCTTGATGTGCTGCTTGTTGCCTGCGGGGCAGGTGAGTTTTGCGCGCCCGGGGCGCGACGCGGCGGCCCCCGGAGGAGCGCGCGAAGGTCTGGGGGCGGTCGTGGGGGCGCGCGGCGTCGGACGCGGCGCTGCGCCGACGGCGAGGTCGATGTGCTCTCGATCGATCGCGAGCCCGAGATCCTTGTGGCGATTGTGGCGGGCCTCTGGGCGTCTGTCCCGGCCGGCTCGACGACGCAGCCCGGCCGCATGATGACGAAGAGCGGCACGGCCGTCGCCGCCGCCGCGTCCACCTTCCGCGGGGGTTTTAGGGCGACAAGCGCCATGACAACGCGCTGGCTGCGACGACGCGCGTCGACGATTGGCTTCGGCATTGCCGGGTAAACGCAGTCCATCGACATGGAAGTGCAAACAATGTGTAAATCCAAACGAGGGATCTCGCCTCGAGATCCCTCGAGGCCATGAACACATAATACACATTCGACCATCACAGCTTGCAGAGTCGGGCTTCCTGTACGCCGTGCGCGTGCGGAGCTCCGCGTCCGCCCAGCCAATCGCTTCGCGCGCGCGAGAAGATCGATTGGCGGAGCGCGAACCCGACCGCTCGGCGGCTGCTGCTGGTTGGGGCTGCCAATCGTCGGCTGCCCGGCGGGCGAAAAAAGGGACGTCTGGCGGCGTCCACGGACAACTTCGCCGCGGCGGCTCCCGCAACGCTCTGGCGCGCCGTGGCCAGCACGCGTGCTGCCGGTTCGTCGTCGATCCCCGCGCGCTAGGCCGGCGGCGCCGCGCCCGCGGACGTGCTCACGCACTCCTAGCTCGTCCACGAGCCAGCCCCTCGACGACGCGTGCGGTCCGTCTTCTTCCTCCAGGGGCGCGACGACGAGACGGGCGACGGCACCGACGACGTCTGCGACAAACTCTACCGCGCCTACAAGTACACATGGCTCCAGACGACGCGCAGCATGGCCAAGTGCCCCTACGCCGCGTCCTTCAAGAGCCCCATCCTCCTCAAACACGAGCCCGACTGCGCCCTCATCGACGTCGACGAGCTCGACGAAGAGGACGGGTCGACTACGAGTCGCCGAGGAGCTGGCTCGTGTGGTCGCGTCGGGCCATGTTCCATTAAACCAGCAAATATGCGGCAAAGAGGGGTCTCCTGGGCCCCGCTTTCGGGCCAAGGCATCTCCCGCAGGAGCCGAGTTTACAAACGGCGTGATGAACTAGGGCGAACATGAATCTGAGGGCAGGCGCCGCAGCGCCGCCACGGATGCACCACGAGAAGTCGTAGCAGTAGTGGGGCCGGTGCTCGCGGTGCTCCACGCAGGCGACGTCGGAGTCCGCGCCGCCGAGGTCCAGGCGGTAGTAGCCCGTCGGGGCGTAGGGCTTGACGGTGTGGAGGCTCGTGCCGTGCTTTTCGATTTTGCGCGCGTCCGGGCGCCTCACCATCGACGCCTCCGCCGACCGCTCCGACGGCGACGGGATCGCGCGGCGATGCTTAACACGCCCACCTCGCATCCGCGCGTGAGATGCGATTCGTGCAGGCTTATGGTGCGAAACAACCAGCCGCGAAAACAGTCGGCCATCTCACGAAAATTACCTCGCTGCACCACTGGATGTTCGGCGACCATGGCCATTATTTTTTAAAGCGACAACATGCGTATAGTCGGGAGATATGACCATGCGAAAATGCCGGCACTCCTCCGCAACACTAGTGCTCTGGGCTTGGCCAATCGGTTGATTTTTTTGAGTTGGCCCAAGCCCAAAAGGACGGTACTGTGGCGGTGGCCGCAAGCTCATCGTCTTCGTCATCATCAGCCGAGGGGGCGGTATCGACAGTTTACTTTCCCCTTCGAGCTCCTCGGTTCCTCACCGCCTGGAGCAGGCGAAGACACGTCAGCAAGACGCGCCTCGTCTCAGGCATCCACGGCGTCCAGTGGCGAGTTCAAAAGCTCTTCAGGGTCGTCGGGGGGCACGATGGGATGGGCGCGCGTCATGCAGGCGCACTACGCCTCGTATCCCCGTCAAACTAGGAGCGTGGTGCACGTCGGGGCGCGCGAGAACGAGCAAGGAAGCCTGCACTGTGAAACTTCACATTCTCAGCGCACAGTCTGCCGGAGAGAGTTTAGCACAATCTGGAGAGCTTTGGCAGCGCTCGGCCAGCAACTCGAGCAAGCGCCGTCTCTCGCTGGGCTGCTCGGCTTCCTAGGCAGCGTCTCTCGCTGGGCTGCTCATCGACGATGCTCATCGCGGGCCTGCTCGTCATCGTGTCGCTGTCGCCGGTCCGCGGGCCGGGGCCGCGCGCGACGCGGCTCGAGGCCATGGCCGAGACGCTGGGGACGCGGGCGCGCATGGCGGTCTTGACCTGCGACGGCCACGAGGACGCGGCGCTCTCGGTGCGGACGCTGGCCCGGGCGAACGCGTCCGGCGCCGTCGAGGTCTGGCCGCTGCCGCCGGCGGACCACGGCAAGCGCTACAACCAGTTCAAGGCGCTCGTCTACGCCTTCACGCGCGCCGCCGCGGACCCGCGCGTGCGCTGGGCCGTCCCGAACGCCGGCGTCCGAACGGAACGACCCGGAGGACGCCGCTCGCTCCCAGGTCTGGGCCAACGACCACACGTTCCTCGTGCCGGAGAACCTCGCGTGCTACCTGAAGGCGCGCTACGACGCGTCGACGCCGCACTACGTCGGCACGCGCATGTGGGGCCCGTGCTGCGGCCTCTTCAACTCCGGCGCCGCGGGCTTCGCCGTGAGCCGGGCCAGCCTCGACCTGCTGGCGGCCCGCTGGGCCGCGCTCGCGGCGGACCCGGCCGCCGTCGACGACAAGTGCGGCCCGGACCGGCCCAAGGCCCACGTCGCGACGTGCCTCGAGAAGCTGGATTCTCGCGCGACGCCGCCGGACACGCGCGACGCGGCCGGCGCCGAGCGGTTTTTGGTCTACGGGCCCGTGCGCCTCGCGACGGGCGCGGTCGACCAGTGGCTCCTCTCGAAGAAGGCGAACATGAAGCCGCCGGAGCCCTTCGCCAAGGACGGCTCCGCCGTCTCGTCCGACGTCGTCTCCTTCCACTACGTCGCCGCGCCGGAGCACCGCCTCCTCCACGGCCTCCTCCACGGCGACGCGGCGCTCCTCGACGCGCCCGACGCCGCGGCGCAGCTCGCGCGCCGCTGGCCCGACGGCCGCGAGGAGCTCGGCGGCTACAGCGGGCCCTGGCCCAGGAATAGCCGGCCGAAGCAGGCCGCGATCCTCGCGCTCCTCCGGCGGCTCCGCGTCTGCGCCGCGCCGCCGGCCGCGCTGTAGTAGAAGTCACGAGTCGCTCCGCTGTAATATCTGCGACGTCGCGGCACGCAGGTCAGGGTTGCAGTCGATGCCCAGTCGATGCCGCAAGCGATGAGCTGCGCCTTAACTCTCTGAGAGCGTCTCTGATATCGGTTCCTCCCTAAGCGCAAGCTCCGCACGCGCGCCGCGCCGCCTCCCACCATGGCGCCGACCGGCGACAGCAAGAAGCCGCGCGGCGCGCGGCACAAGTCGAACACGCTCCACAAGAAGCGGCGCGAGCAGCGGTCCCTGCCCAAGACGAACAAGAAGACGGCGAAGAACCGCATCCGCGACATGGACCGGCGGCTGCGCAAGCTGAAGAGCCTCGACGTGGACCCGGCCCAGGTCGCGGCCCTCGAGGCCGAGCTCGCGGCGCTGCGCGAGTCCGAGACCGGCGCGGCGGAGTCGCGGCGCAACGTCGAGACGGAGAAGCGCTACGCGGAGCGGTACCGGAAGATCAAGTTCTTCGAGCGGCAGAAGGTCACGCGGCGGCTCAAGCAGCTGCGCAAGGAGCTCGCGGCGGCGCCGTCCGACGACCTCCGCGCCCGCGAGCGCGCGCTCGAGGACGACCTCCGCTACATCAAGCACTACCCCAAGGACCGGAAGTACGTGTCCCTCTTCGGCGGCCGCGCGCAGGACGACCGCACGCGCAAGCTCCGCGCGGACATGCGCGAGCGCGCCCTCGCCAACGCCCGCGCCGCGGAGCAGGCCAAGGCCGCCCGCGACTCGGACGACTCCGACTCGGACGACGCCGACTCCGACGCCGACTCGGACGACTCGAGCTCGAGCTCCGACGACTCGGACGGCGACGACGCGGCGGCCGCCGAGGCCGACTTCTTCGTCGCAGCATAATGACCGAGGGGTGGCTTGTCCGCGGTGGCTCGCGACTCGGACTGCGAGGCGCGACGCCGCGCGAAGGACGGTGTCAGACGACGGCCCTTCGTGGATGCCGACGCGACGTCTAAGCGCACGCCACCCGTATGCGTCCGAGCGTTCGCGCTGGCCAGCGTCGCGCGACGCGTCCAGCCGGCGAGGCCTCCGGCGCCGGGGCCGAGCCCATAGTGCAGCTCTCCGCCGGTGCAAACTTGAAAACTGCGCGCAGCCTAGAGCGCCGTCGACGAGCGACTTCGCGCCGCCGACGAGGGGAGCATGAGCGCCGACGAGGTCGCCAAGGCGTTCATCCCGCACTACTACAATCTGTTCGACACGAATCGCGAGGGCCTCGTGTCGCTGTTCCGCGAGACGTCGTCGCTGACCTTTGAGGGCGACGGGCCGAAAACGGGCGTCGCGCAGATCATGGAGAAGCTGCGGGGGCTGCCGCCGGCGCGCGACGGCGCGACGCGAAAGCTCGTTCGCTCCGCGCGCGCGCGCGCGGTCGCCGCCGCGCGGCCGTCGACCGTACCGCGCGCCCGCCGCGCAGGTCGCGCACCAGCCGCAGACCATCGAGTGCCAGCCGTCCGTGAGCCAGAACGCGATCCTCGTCTTCTGCACGGGCCAGATCATGGCGCGTCGCGCCGCGTCCGCTCTCGGGTTCGTCGCGCGCCGCGCTTCGCCGCGCGCGCGCCGCGACGCGCCCGCGCCCGCGCAGATCGAGCAGGGCAAGCCGCTCAAGTACAGTGAGGTCTTCCAGCTCGTCGCGTCCGCGCCGGGCCAGTACTACCTCAACAATGTCATGTTCCGATTTAACTACGCGTGAGCTCGCGCGTCGCCGCCCGACGCCGCGCCGCGCGTCCCCAGCAGTGCTCCCCCTCCCCGCGCGCGTAACGGCGCTTCGACCCGTGTTTCTTTGCTGCTGCCAACACCGAAATAGGTGCAGGTTTCCTGCTTCTCCAAATCCCCCCAACCCTCGCCAAAACCAATTGACGGTAAAAATGCCACAAGGTGCCGCGATGGCCTTTGCTGACAACCTCTCGTCTCTCGTCACAAGAAAAGGGCATCCACCGACCGCGACGCTGCGGTGCATGCGACGCAGCGGGCTCATCCCAATCTTCTCGATCATGTCCGCCTACGGCAGCACCTGCGCCGGCTGGCGCACGGCGTCCTGGAACGTCGCGGCGATCAACAACAACCCCTGGGAGTACTACATGGACCACCCGTCCCCCAAGTACCACGCCATCATGGAGGGCGTGCAGAAGTTCGTCGCCGCGCCCGGCGCCGACGACGTCGCCGTATCCGCGGTCTTCACGGAGGCCATGATGGCGGGCCTCGAGGCGGCGATGCTCGGCGCGGGCATCGACGCGGCCGCGGTCGAGGACACGAGGGCCTACTGGGCGTCGGACCTCAGGGACCGCAAGATCATGTCGGGCTTCCTCAAGGACGACGCCATGGGCGCGAAGCGGCTCTGCAGCATGCCGGACCGCGTGACGAACACCATCGGCCTCGCGGACGGCTCCGTCGCGTGCCGGCCGACGGTCATCAACATGTACGGCGGCGAGCTCGGCTCCGTCGAGGCCTGGTGGCCCCAGTGGCGCGCCTTCTTCTTCGAGGACAAAGTCGCCGTCGTCGACAAGAAGGCGGGCAAGGCCGAGAAGCTGCCCGCGCTCATGCTGTCGAAGATCCCGCGCGCCAAGTACCCGGCGCTCACCGAGGCCGAGGAGGCCATGTCCGTGCCGCTGCAGCTCGTGTGCTGCGCCGTCTTCGACGCGGTCCTCGTCCACATGATGAACAAGGTGTCGCCCGACGGGTCCTGGCTCGCGCTCAAGTCCGAGATCACCGCCGCGCTCTCCGAGGACAAGGTCGCGAAGACCGTCGCGTTTCTTGAATCGGGCTACGCGACGTCCGACGTCGTCTTCCTCCAGGAGTGCGGCAAGCGCTTCCACGGCGCCCTGCAGGCGTCCAAATTCGCCGCGACGCACGCCGTGCTCGCGCCGGCGGCGTCCGGCGCCTTCAAGCGCGACCAGGCGTCGCTTTTAATGCTCGCGAACGACGCGTTCGACGCGTCGACCGTCGAAGAGGTCACGGCGGCCGTCGAGGCCCGGCTCGACGACAAGTCGAAGAAGATGCTCGCCGACGGCGACGTCTTCGCGGTGACGGCGTCGACGAAGACGCCCGGCGCGCCGCCGAAGGTCCTCGTCGCGTCGTTCCACGGCGACACGAACGGGTTGGCGACGATTCCCGTGTTGGACGCGCTCGCGAAGACGTCCGCGGACCTCGGCCTCCCGCTGGTGTTCGGCCTGGACGCCAACGCGCACACGGCGGACCGCGCGAAGCCGGGCAAGAACCTCGGCTGGCCCGAGTTCGTCGCGGCCGTCGAAAAGACGGCGTCCCTCGCGCAGTGCCACGACTTGGGGCCCGACGGCAAGACGCCGCCGCCGTTGTCGACGTTCAACGCGCGGACCTACATCCAGCCCCAGCTCAACAAGGCCGTGCCCCTCGAGGACAAGGCGACGTCGAAGCTCACGGACCGCAACCCGAAGGACTACGTCGTCTTCGACAAGGCCGTCTTCAGCGCGGTCGACGTCGGCGTCGACAACACGGGCGACGCGGCGCGGTCCTACAGCGACGCGCCCTTCCCGACGCTCGCCTTCCCCTCGGACCACGGCGTCCTCCGCGCGCGCCGCCGGCGTTTCGAACCCTTTTTCTTTGCGAGAGGGATCGCCGCTCCTCGCAGGCGACGCTCGCGTTCGACCGATCTCCGTAGGCGACGCTCGCGTTCAACGGCGCGGCCAAGCCGAAGTCGCTCGCCGTGCCCCTCGTCGTCGCGGCCCTCGCGGCCCTCGCGGCCGTCGTCGTCCTGCGCCGGAAGTGAGCGCGCGGGGCGCGCGCGCCTTCCGAGCGGCGCCCTCCTTTTGCCTTCGCGCCAGCCCCCCGGGGGTCGAGCCGGGCTGATCGTCGCAGACGGCCTCAACGGACCAAGGGGCTGCCTTCGCGCGTCGCGAACACGAGCCTTAACGCGACTCGGTGCGCGCGGGTCGCTTGCTTGGGTGGCGCGACGTGGTGCGGGGCTAGCGGCCGTACTGCTGGGGCGGCGGGCCGCCCGGCCCGGGCGGCGGCGTGCGCGTCGGGAACGGGCGCTGCTGCTGCGGCGGCGGCGGCGCGCCCGGCGGCGCGCCGTAGCCCTGCGGCGGGGGCGCGCCGTAGCCCTGCTGCGGCGGCGGCGCGCCGTAGCCCGGCGGCGGCGGCGCGCCCGGGGGGCCCGGCGCGGCGCCGAAGGGCGGCGGCGCCTGCTGCTGCGGCGGCGGCGGCGCGCCGTAGGCGCCGCCGGGCGCCTGGCCGGGCTGGCCCGGCCAGGCGCCGCGGCCGTAGGCGTCGTAGGGCTCGGCGATCTGGGCGTTGGGCGTCGTGAGCGCGTCCTTGACCTTCGAGAACCAGCCCGTGACGCCGGAGGCCGCGCCGATCGCCGCGGACGCGGCGGACGCGCGGACGTCGCCGCCGCTGCCGCGGCGCGTGATCATCATCTGCTGCTGCCAGTAGAGCGTCGAGTCGCTCGGCTGGCCCTGGGGCGGGCCGCCGGGCGGGCCGCCGCCCTGGGGCGGCGCGCCCCAGGGCACGAGCGCGTCGCCGCGGCCCGGCGGCGCGCCGCCCTGCGGCGGCGGGCCGCCGCGGCCTGGCGGCGGCGGCGCGCCCCAGGGCGGCGGCGCCCCGCCGGGCGCGCCGCGCCCCGGCGGCGGCGGCGGCGCGTCCCAGGGGTTCGCCGGCGCGCGCTGGTCCTGGTTCTGCTTGCCGCGGAAGATGCGCCCGAAGAGCCCGGGCCCCTGGGGCTGGTCCTGGCCGGCCGGCGGCGCGCCGGGCGCCGCCCAGGGCGGCAGGTCGCTCCCGGCGCCCGGCGGCGCGCCCCAGGGCGGCGGCGCCTGCTGCGGCGGCGGCGGCGCGCCCCAGGGCGGCGCCTGGTCCTGCGGCGGCTCCTGCGGCGCCTCGCCGTAGGCCGCGGGCGCCTCGGGCGCCTCCGGCGCGGCCTCGGGCTCCGGCGCGGCGGCCTCGGCCTCGCCGCCCTCCGAGAAGCCGTACGTCGTCTCCTGGACGTAGGCCGCGTTGCCCTGGCCGTCGTCGTAGGCGTAGGCCGTCGTCGTCTCGCCGGCGACGTCCTCGGCCTCGGCGCCGTCGGCCTCGACGTCGTCCCCTTCGGCGACGGCCGTCGCGTTCGCCGGCTCCGCGACGACCTCGACCTCCTCGACGACCTCGGCCTCGCCGTAGGTCGGCTCCGCGCCCCACGCCGGCTGCTGCTGCTGGTCGTAGTAGCCGCCGTACTGCTGCTGCTGGTCGTAGCCGTACTGTTGCGCCTGGTCGTACTGTTCATACTGTTGCGGGGGCGCCTGGTTGTTGTAGTCGTACTGCTGGCCGTAGCCCTGCGGCGGCGGCTGCCATCCGCCGGACGAGGCGCTCGCCGCGGCGATCACCGCGGCGCTCACGGCGCACGCTCTCAGCGACGGCCACATCGCGAGGCACTGCACTCGAGCGACTCGACCTCAAGCCGTCGAGATTTCGCAACCTTGCGCGAGGAACGCGCTGATAGGTCGGTTCCACGCGGCGGTCGACGCGTCGGCACGAGTATGTCCGCCCCTGACAACAATGTGGTCCCGCCAGCATCGCAAAGTGCCGCGACTGTCCCCGGGTAATGGTCCGGTTAGCGTTGGCAGGTGGTCCGATATGCGCGGGCGCCGAGCCGGATTGACGCCCATGTCGCCGCAACAAAATCAACAAAAACCGAGAAGCTGCTTCGAGGCGCTCTCTGTCGAGGCGCTCTCTGTGTGTGGCTGGTCCAGGAGCTTGGCACCGCGCGGCGGCCGTGGTCGGGCCTCGCGGCACCCGGGCGCCCGCGCCGTCCGCGCAGCGCGCACGATGAACGGCACGAACTTCATCAAGCAGGGCATCGAGGTCGTGTCCGAGGCCATCCAGGCCGACAAGGACGAGGACTACGAGCGCGCCCTCCAGCTCTACAAGCGGGCGCTCGAGGTCTTCATGACGGGCGTCAAGTACGAGAAGAACCCGGCGGCGCGCGCGACGATCCTCCAGCGCGTCGACGGCTACATGAAGCGCGCGGAGGATCTGAAGGACGTGCTCGAGAAGCAGCGGCAGGCCAAGGCGAACCCGCAGGGCTCCGCGGGCACGGGCACGAAGGACAAGAACGACAAGGAGGGCGACGACGACGAGACGTCCAAGCTCAAGGGCCAGCTCGCGTCGGCCATCGTGACGGAGAAGCCCAACGTCGCGTGGGCGGACGTCGCGGGCCTCGAGGGCGCCAAGGACGCGCTCAAGGAGGCCGTGATCCTGCCGCGCAAGTTCCCCCAGCTCTTCGTGGGCAAGCGCCAGCCCTGGCGGGGCATCCTGCTGTACGGCCCGCCGGGCACGGGCAAGTCCTTCCTCGCCAAGGCCGTGGCCACGGAGGCGGACGCGCAGTTCTTCGCGGTGTCGTCGAGCGACCTCGTGAGCAAGTGGCAGGGCGAGAGCGAGCGCCTCGTCAAGAATTTGTTCGAGATGGCGCGCCACGAGGAGCACGCCATCATCTTCATCGACGAGATCGACTCCATGTGCGGCAGTCGGAGCGAGGGCGAGAGCGACGCGACGCGGCGCATCAAGACGGAGTTCCTCGTGCAGATGCAGGGCGTGTCGACGCGCAAGGACGGGCTGCTCGTGCTCGGCGCGACGAACACCCCCTGGGAGCTCGACCCGGCGATCCGGCGCCGCTTCGAGAAGCGCATCTACATCCCGCTGCCCGAGGCCGCCGCGCGCGCGACGATGCTCCGGCTCCACCTCGGCGACACGCCGCACACGCTCCTCCCCGGCGACTTCGACCACCTCGCGACGCAGTGCGACGGCTTCTCGGGGTCGGACCTGAGCGTCATGGTCCGCGAGGCGCTCATGGAGCCGCTCCGCACGTGCCAGTCCGCGAAGCAGTTCCAGCCCGTCGAGTGCCCGGGGCCCGACGGCGCCGCGCAGACCATGCTCGTGCCCTGCACGGCCTACCCGTCCTGCGCCTACTGCCCCATCAACGTCTCCACGAAGACCATCGACCTCGCGGACTGCCTCAAGTGCGGCGCGAAGCGCATGACGCTCTACGACGTGCCCAGCGAGCAGCTCAAGGTCCCCGACGTCTCCGTCGAGGACTTCGAGCACATCGTCAACAAGTCCCGGAAGACCGTCGCCGAGGAGGAGCTCGACCAGTTCGTCGAGTGGACGCGCGAGTTCGGCCAGGAGGGCTAGCTCGCCCGCCGCCGCCGCGCGCTCCGCTCCCCGTCGTACACCATCGCTTTCGCTTCTTTAGCCCGTCTCCGAGTCGTCGTCGGCGAGCGCGATCTCCGCGGGGTCCGCGACCGGCGCCGCGTCGTCGTCGTCGTCGTCGTCGGCGAGCGCGATCTCCGCGGGGTCCGCGACCGGCGGCGCCGCGTCGTCGTCGTCGTCGAGGGCGATCTCCGCGGGGTCCGGCGGCGCGACGGCCGGCGCGGCCGGCGGCGCGGCGCAGGGCCGCGTCACGACGTGGGGCAGCCCGAGCATGTCGAGGAACGCGTCCGTCTGCGGGCTCGCCTGGGCAGGAAAAGGGTGATTCAAGTTCTCTTCAACATGAGTGTTCCGCGCGCGCGCGTTCCGGAAAAAGCATCCATGCTTCAAGACCGTTCCGAGAGATGATCGCTCGTCCAAAAATCAGCCGAAACGAGTGGAAAACGGCCGAGATCGGAGCCTTTGAAGTTGGGAATTTCGCACTCTTTTCCTGCCCCGGGGCTCGCCTCCCGGAGCGGGTTCCGCGGGTCCGGCGGCCCCGGCGGCGCGGGCACGAAGTCCTCGGGGATCTTCAGCGGCGCGTGGGCCGGCGCGCCCCAGGCCCCGCAGCGCGCCTCCGCCCTGGCCCGGGCCGCGGCGACGTCGCCCGGGCCCGGGCGGTCGAAGACGTCCGGGAGCTGCCGGCGCCGCGGCGGCGGGAGGCAGCCGCCGAGGGCGTGGGTCTTGGCGAGGACGGCGAGCCACTCGGCGTCGTACTCGAGCTCGACGGGCCCGTCGCAGGGCCGCTCCAAGACCAGCAGCTGGAGGAAGTCGCGCCGCGGCAGGCACTTGTCGAGCGCTAGAAACCGCGTCGCCGTGCCGTCGTCGTGGGGCACGAGGGCGGCGAACTTGACGTGGAGGTGCGCCGAGAACCAGTGGGTCGGCCGGAGCTGCTTGAGCAGCAGCTCGTTCGCGGGCGAGCCCAGGTCGTTGCGCGCGACCTCGTCGGCGAAATGCTTCTTGCGCCGCAGGAGCCGCCGCACGTCGCCGAACTGCTCCACGCCCCGGGGCCAGTCGTGGCTAATGAAGGCGTCGACTTCGCCGCGGCCCAGGAGCGCGAGGCGGAAGACGTCGACCTCGCGGACGTGGTACGCCGATCGGACGGCATCGCGCGCGTCGACGGCGTCGGCCGTGTTCTCGAAGTGGTCCCACCGGTGGTGCTTGCCGTTGTAGATGCCGCTCAGGCCCGAGATGCGCAGCCCGCCGACGCGCACGCTCCCCGCGGCGCCGAGGTAGTAGATCTTCGGCGCGACCCAGCCGCCGTAGAACAGGCTGCCGAGCTGGTTCGACGCCTCGTGGTTCCCGCCGACGAAGACCGTGAGGCAGGGCGCCTCGGCCTCGCCGCGGTAGTACTTGACGAAGGAGTTCATCTCGCGGTACTTGGCCGGCACGGCCAGCGCCTCGAAGTCCGCCTCGCTGCGCAGGCCCTGGAAGTCGCCGCAGCAGATGAGCAGGTCCACCTTGACGCCGCGCCGCCGCTCGACCTCGCGCAGCGCCGCGTAGATGTCGTCGAGGGCGCCGTGGCAGCAGCCCTCGATCATGACGTTGAGGTACGACGGCATGGTTTCGTGTGTTTGAGAATTAAGAGAGGCTCATCGGTCGCTCCTGCAACCACCTTCAACAAGCATTCAACGAGCCGAGCCGGAGAGGCCTCGAAAGAAGGTCCCCCGCAGCTTACGTCGCGCTCACAGGTAGTAGCGGGGCCCCGTCATCTTGACGCACATGATGAGCGCGCGGGGGAGATGGAAGAAGCCCATGTAGTTGCCGCCCTTGGCGGTGTGGCGGGGCGTGCCGTCGCGCTTGAGGTAGCCGTACCAGGACGCGTCGGTGGCGAAGTGGTCGTAGCAGTAGGCGTGGACCTTGCGGAGCCAGCCCCCCCAGCGGTCGTCGTCGCCCGTGAGCGTGTGCGCCATGACGAGCGCGATGAGCGCCTCCGTGCACGGCCACCACAGCTTGTCGTCGTTCGTGACCGTCGCGTCGACGAGGGGCCGGCCCTCGAGGTCCATCATGTAGAGCAACCCGCCGCCGTGGGCGTCGTCCCAGCCGCGCTCCAGCGACCCCTCGATGGCGTCGAGCGCGACGTTTTTGAGGGTTTCGTCGGGCACGACCTCGACCATCTGCAGCAGGAACCACGCCACCTCGATGGAATGGCCCGGAAGGAAGAGGCGCCCGGCGGGCGTCGCGTAGTCGACGCCGTCGGGCCCCGCCTGCTCGACGAGGATGCGCTTCGACGCGTCGTAGTGGCGCAGCACGTCCGCGCAGGCCTGGGCGATGCGCCGCTTGTGGCCCTCGCGCGTCTCCGCGTCGGCCGACAGATGGTAAAAATCGAGGCTGAGCGACGCGGCGCACATGACGTCCGCGAGCTTCGTGGCGTTGGACGGCGCCGCCGGCGGCCGGCCGCACTTCGACGGGTCCTCGATCCACTCCAACAAGGTCTCGAACATGGCCTCGGCCGACGCGAGGACCGCGGCCGCGTCCTCGCCGTGCGACCCGCCCTCGTCCTCGATGACCTTGAGCATGCGCCAGTAGCTCAGTTTTCCCTGGACGTAGAAGACGGCGGCGTAGGGCTTGCGCTGGAGGTGGAGCCGCTCCGAGCCGTCGCGCGACAGGGAGAAGAAGAGCAGGCCCTGGTCGTCCTTGGCCTTGTCCAGAAAGGCCGCGCCGAGCTCCGCGGCGCGGCGCCACTGGTCGCGCTCGCTCGCCTCGGGGAAGTCGCAGTAGAGCCGCGCCCACATGTAGAGCGCGCGGCCGTTGAGCCACATGTACTTCGTGTCGTCGTAGACCTCGCCGTGCTCGTCCAACGCGCTAAAGTAGCCGCCGTACTCCGTGTCCAGGGAGTGGTCGAGCCAAAAGGGCACGACGTTCTCGAACAGGTCCTTCTGCCACACGGCGCGCAGCTGCAGCAGGCTCTCGTCCATGGCGGCCATCTCCAGGCTCTCTCTGAAGGGCAGCCCCAGGCTCTGCGGCGAGTGCTAGGCTAGGAGAGATTACAGCTAGAGGGCCTCCCCCAGGGGGGTACACGGCACCAGGCCTTGCGGCACTGGGACTCCAAGCCTAGCCGCGACCGCCACGGGCGGCCGGGCTCTCTCTGGGCTGCCAAGCTCTGCGGCCGGGCTCTCTCTGTGCAACTCGGAGTTCAACATAGAGCTTCGCTGAAAAGGCGCATCGATCGACCTCTGCCAAATCCGAGCTGACGATGGACGCGGCAGCGACGCGCCTCAAGGCCGCGGCGGTCTGCGCCGGCGTCGCGGGCCTCTTCGCGCTGGCGAGCGAGGTCGCCCGGCGGCGGCGCAGGCCCGGCGCCCTCGACGCGCCGACGCCCCTGGACGTGCGCCTGGGCCTCACGACGCTGGCCGACGGCCGCAAGCCCCTGCGCTGGGCGTTCCTGAGCTGCGGGCGCGTGGCCCACGACTACGCGAACGCGCTGAAGTGCGTCGAGGGCGCCGTGCTCCACTGCGTGGCGACGCGCGCCGAGAAGGACCGCGGCCGCGCACAGGCGTTCGCCGCGCTCCACGGCTTCGCGACGACGGCGGGCACCTACGCGGCGGCCCTCGCCGACGAAGACGTCGACGTCGTCTACCTGTCGGCCATGCACAGCGACCGCGTCGCCCACGTCACCCAGATCCTCGAGGCGGGCAAGCACTGCGTCGTCGAGAAGCCCTTCGCGTGCAACCTCGCCGACGGCAAAAAAATCGTCGACCTCGCGCGGCGCAGGAAGGTCTTCGTCATGGAGGGCATGTGGACGCGCTGCTTCCCCGCCGTCGAGAAGGCGCGGGAGCTCGTGGACGCGGGCGCGATCGGCGCCGTGACCGCGGTGCTCTCGGACTTCGGCTTCGACGCCGCGGACTCGGGCAGCTATCCGGCGGACCCGAAGGACACGACGAGCGGCGACCCCATCTACCACAAGGCCATCGGCGGCGGGGCGCTGCTCTGGGCCGGGCCCTACCCCATCGCCGCGGGCTTCCTGCCCTTTGGGGCGACGAAGCCGAAGTCCGTCGCCGCCGCGGGAACGCTCGACCCGAACACGGGCGTGGACCTGTCCTGTTCTTTGTCGCTCACCTACGCCAATGCCGCGGGCGGCGCGCCGAGCGACCGGCCGGGGGCCTGCCCGCCGCGCGGCGCGACGGTGTCGCTCTACACGTCCATCGACGCGGAGACGGCCGAGACGACGACGTACGTCGGCCAAAAAGGACGCGTCGTCGTGCTGCCGCCGGCGCACTGCCCGACGAAGCTGCGGCTCGAGTTGAAGGCCGCGGGCCGGGGCAACGCGTCCGTCTCCGAGGTCGAGTACGCGTTCCCGGCGCCGTCGCGGCCCTTCGCGCCCGTCGCCGGCGGAGACGCGTGCTTCCACTACCCGAACAGCCACGGCTTCTGCTACGAGGCCGCGGCGGTCCAGCGCTGCGTCAACGCGGGGCTCACGGAGTGCCCCCAGTACACGCTCGACGAGACGCTCCTCGCGCTCGACCTCGCGGACCAGGCGAAGATGCACATGGCCGCCGCGTGAGAGACGGCAGGCGTAAACTTGACGTCAACTAAGAGGCAACATGACTTCCACGCCGCGGCGCCGACCTCTATCGATCTGTGGAAGTCGTCTCGGCGCCTCGCGCGCGACCGGCCAGCGAGGCAAAGCGATGGCCGCGCGCGGTGCAGTCGCGCTCCTCGGCGTCGCAGCGATGGCGCGCGCCGCGTTCTACCCGGCGGACGGTCCCGTCGCGACCCTGGACCCCTACAACTTCGACGCCTTCGTCGAGGCCGCGCCGCTGACCATCGTCGAGTTCTACGCGCCGTGGTGCGGCCACTGCCAGCAGGTCGCGCCCAGGTACCTCGCCGCCGCGGCGGCGCTGTCCGAGAAGCACGGCGGCCGCGTCGCGTTCGGCGCGATGGACGAGTCCGACGAGGACAACCGGCGGCTTCGCGCGGGCTCGGAGGACATGTACGACTTCAAGCACTACCCGGCGCTCGTCGTCTTCTACGGCAGGGAGGGCGGCCTGTCGATCGGGCGCCAGCTCCTCGCGAGCGACGGCCTGCACGGTCCGAAGAAGGACGCGCTCGGCCACACGTGGGACCGCTACTACGGCGGCACGGAGCGAGCGGAGCTCGAGTTCTGGGTCGAGGCGCTGCTCGACGGCAAGAACCCCATCGTCGAGGAGCGCACGGTGCTGAAGCCCGGGCTCTACCGGGACGACGCGAGGAACGACGGCCTCGTCGAGGAGCTCGACGCCGAGGGCCTCGCGTCGATCGCAAAGGGCGCGCGCGACGTCAACGCGGTCTGGGTCGTCAAGTTCTACAGCGACCGCTGCCCCCACTGCAAGACGCTCGTGCCGGAGATTATTTCCGCCGCGGAGAAGCTGCGCAAGTCCCTCGGGAAGACGCAGGTCCGCGTCGCGGCGATCAACGCGCGCGTCTTCTTCGAAGCGTCGGAGGAGCACGGCGTCACGGGCCTGCCCTGGGTCACGGGCTGGTACGACGGGCAGCGGCTCGAGGACATGGCGGGCCTGAGCGACGCCCAGTCCGTCGTGCGCTGGGGCACGCGCATGCACCAGACGAAGTGGAAAAGGAAAGCTGGCGACGCGCCGGAGGACGACGACGTGCCCGACGACGGCCTCACGCCGACGTGCCGCAACGCCGACATCTGCACCTGCTCCAACGACCCGCCGACGTGCCGCTGCGCGCCGTCGGCCTACAGCCGCGGCTGCTGCAACATGAACTGCGGCGACTGCGGGGACCTCTGCGCCGCGCTCTCGGGCAAGAAGAAGAAGAAGCCGAAGGAGCCGCCGGTGGTCGAGAAGAAGGACGCGGCGAAGAAGGAGCCGCCGGTCGTGGAGAAGTGGCCGGGCAAGTGGGAGAAGAAGGACGCGGTGGCCGTCGACGCGGCCGGCGGCGCGGCGGCGGCGCCCGCGGCCAACGGCACGGCGTGGCGCGAGGCGCTCGGCGCGCACACGTGGTTCTACCTCCACACCTTCGCGGCCAAGTACCCCGACGCGCCGACGGAGGCGGACAAGGTCGCCGCGCGCTGGCAGGTCGCGAGCCTCGCGCAGCACTACCCGTGCCACGTCTGCCGCGGCCACCTCCAGAAGAAGCTCCTGTCCAAGGCCCTCGGGCCCGTCGACGTCGACGGCCGCGAAAAGCTGTCGACGTGGATGTGCCGGCTCCACAACCTCGTCAACGCGGACCTCGGCAAGCCGGCGCACGCCTGCGGCATCCTCCAGCTCGACGCGATCTACCTCAAGGACTGCGGCGACTGCAAGGCCGGCTCGGCCTTTTCCTCGGGCGGCAAGGGCGAGGCCGCGGGCGAGCGGCCCTTCTTCGCCGCCGCCTACGCCGCGGACCCGGCGCTCTACGTCGGGGCGTACGGGTCGTCGTGACAGCGGGTGGGAGCGGCCACGTCGGGCTAATAGGGCTGTGTCGCCGCGAACCCGCAGGCCTGCGCCAGCCGGCTTCACCGGTCTCCAGACCCCCGGCGGCAGCCCGGGGCGACGCGGCAAAGATCGTCTCTCTGCCCACCTTCAGCGTCGATCGTCAATAGCAAAAATGAAGGCTGTTCAGTTCATCGCCCTCGCCCTCGGCGCCCTCTCCGCCGTCGTGCGTCGCAGCGTCCACTGCTGCAAGCTTTGGGGGAAAAAAATCGCGGCGAAAGCGGCCCGCGCGCCGCCGCACGGCCGAAATCGCTGCCGCGGCCAAATTGAGGCCCGCGCGCGAGCGGCGGGGCCGGCGGGGCGGCGCCCCGGCGCCGCGCCCGCCCGGCGAGAGACGACCTTCGCCGCGCGCGCCTCGATCGCGCGCACGAACCACGCCCGCGCGCGCGCGCGCCGCGCTTCACGGCCCCGTTTCCTCCGCAGGAGGCGTTCGCGCCCAAGTCGTCGTCGAGCGCCCTCATGGCCGCGCGATCCGGCGCCAACTCCGGCGTCTCGCAGCGCACCAAGGCGCTCGCCGCGTCGCCCAAGATGGAGGTCTGGTCCGAGAAGAACATCCGTTTCTCCCTCCTCGCCGGCATCGGCCTCCCCATCGTCGGCATCGTCACGCCCCCGGACAACGTCCTCTTCGCGGCGACCCTCCCCGTCGCGATCGCCGGCGTGTGGATCTTCATCTTCCTCGACCTCCTCAAGGCGGCGATCCCCGGCGACGAGGACTTCGACTTCGACGTCTAAACAGGCGGCCAGGCGGGCCGCCGCGCGTGTGACGCTCGTAGCGCGCGGGGTTCTAACATGTCCTCTCCCTGGATGCTGTGCCGGCGCGAGTGTGGGTGGCGCTTTCGGCGGAGTGCGAGCCGCAAGTCCCGGCGCGGCCGGCCGTTCTGGAGAGCGCGCGGCGGCGCCTGCGAGGGCTCGGTCGGACGGCGTAAGGCACGCCACGACAGACGCGCGAGCTGCGAGATCGGCCACGGCGGCACACTCTGGCGCACGTGGGTCCGTGGCCAGCGCGAGTGGTCCCGCGGAGCGCCGATCATGGGACCTCGCGAGTCCTACGTCACATCGCCTCAGCACACTCAGCCTCATCGACACTGAAATCTTGTTCGTTACCGCCCAACGCGAGGCATAGAGCAGCCCGTCGGCCGCGCGCGACCCGAGCCGCGGCGCGCCCCCGACGCGACCGCTGCCCGCCTCGATCGATCTCGCGACGTCGTGACGCTTGAAGCGCCGACAACACCAAGATGTTCAGCGGCTACAACAAGAACGAGCTGGACCAGATCCGCCTGGGAAACTGGCAGGAGGAGCTCGCGCTCAAGGAGACGACGGGCTTCAACCGGGGCCCGAAGCCCGGCGACAGCCAGTTCCGCGGGTCCTACGCCCAGCGCGTCATCGAGCACACGGAGCGCACGGAGCCCGCGGACTACAAATCGACGGCGCACGGCACGCACATCCACCCGTCCGAGTTCAAGACCTTCATCCCCCTGGCGAAGCACGGCAAGCGCGAGGCCATGCTCCAGCAGACCTTCCGCGAGGCCATCGACGAGGAGATCAAGGCCGAGGAGGCCGCCGACGAGAAGCTGCGGAACACGTTCTACCACGAGACGCTCTGCGCGGCGTCCTACACGCGGCCGCCCGTGGACGTCTACCTCGAGAACATGAAGAAGATCAAGCCCAAGAAGAGCGACTTCGAGGCCAAGGCCGCCGTCGGCGACTTCGAGGCCAAGTCCGTCTTCGACGACACCGCGACGACGATCTACGCGGACTCCGTGTCCAAGGGCGACAACCAGTTCCCCCTCACGGAGGACCGCTCCGTCTCCGGGCCCTTCGGCAAGACGACGCACTTCACCAACGACATCCACGACGCGCCCAAGGCCCACGCGGACCCGTCGCGCGACATGGACGGCGTCGAGTCCCTGGGCATGGAGCGCTCCTACTGCGCCGGCTCCTTCGACTGAGGGCGCCGCTAACATTCGGCCACATGGCTTTTGTCGTCGTTTCGAGGTCGCCCGGCCGCAGCGCATGTTTGGGTTAACATATCCCGCCGGCGGGATATGCTACGCGCGGTCCCGGGCGCCGGCGGTCGACGCGCGCGCGCCCTCGTCGACAAGGCGGACATCCTTTCGGGAGGTGGCGCGGGGCCGATGTTATGGTGCAGTCGGTGGGAGTGGAGGGCGGTCTGGGAGGTGGTCGACCGGCGCGGGTCCGCGAGGCGCGGGAGGCGCGGTCTCGGGCGACGATCGACCGGGCGCTCGCGCGGGCAAGGCGGCTCAGCCGTGGACGGACCACTTCTGGCTCGTCTTGCCGAAGAGGCAGGCCTCCATCTTGGAGCGGTATTTGAACTCCTGCGCGATGTGCTTCGGGCCGTTCCACGCGTCGTCTTTCTTCGTGAGGTACGCGCGGAACCAGGTGCCGGCGAGGTCGAGGGGCATCGTGAGGAGCGTGAGGAGGACGAACTGCGCCGTCGCGTACTTGCGGTGGAACGCGTCCCAGGCCGTGGGCGTGAGGCAGTCGTACGCGCGCATGGGCCGGCGGAGCACGTATTTGCGGAAGACGGCTTCCAGGCGGTGCGAGTTGAGGTGGTACATGAGGACGAGGAGGACCGTGACGAAGGCCGCGGGGTAGACGGCGGCGTAGCGGTAGACCTTGGACGAGAAGAGGACGGCCGCGGCGCCGAGGCGCGCGAGCGCGGGGACGTCGTCCTGGGGCACGCAGCTCGGGAAGCGGACGACGTTGCCGAGGAGGAGCCACGCGTGGACGAGCGTGAGGAAGAGGCAGAGGTCGAGGGGCACGAAGTGCGTCGTCGGCATCTCCATGAGGCGGCTCCGGTAGAGGTCGTAGTCGTCGTTGAGGCGGAACGTGAAGCCCGTCGTCTGCCCGAGCAGGATCTTGAGACCGAGGAGCGGGTCCGTGGCCGCGATCTTCAGGTAGTCCGGGTGGAGCTTGGCGTAGGACGCGATGTCGTTGGCGCTGACGAAGTAGTTCGTGAGGGCCTTGACGCGCACGGAGGACGTCCCGTACTGCGCCTCCTCCTCGGCGCGGTCCTTCTCGATCTGCGCCTTCATCTTCGCCGTGTCGCCGCCGAAGGGGGGCGCGACGGCGCCGGTCAGCAGCTTGGCGACCCAGCGCGCCTGGAGCTCGGAGAGCGACGGGATGTTCCCAAAGGCCGGGCGGATGAAGCCGACGAGGAAGAAGTTGTCGACGTCGGGGTGCACGCAGTGCTTGAGCGAGTTCCGCGGGTTCGCGACCTGCATCTTGAGGCCCTTGTCGAGGAATTCGATGTCGGGCGCGTAGCCGATGCACAACACGATGGCGTCGACGTCCTCGGCGACGCTCCCGTCCTCGAAGGTCACGCGCTTGCCCGCGCACGACGCGATCGGCGGCTTCGGGACGAGCCCGTAGCGCGCGACCGCGGAGCTCAGGCCCATGTTCTTCGTGCCGAACTGGGAGTTGATGTGGGTCCCCATGCACAGGTTGTTGGGTGCCGACGACGTCGCGGTACGAGCTCACGCCGCCCATCTGCCACGTCGCCGTCGCGAAGTGCGCCGCGCTCAGGTCGAGGTCGAAGGACGCCTCGGGCACCTGGTTCTTCGGGTCCGCGAGGTGCCAGTGGTACTTGTCGATGTGGTCCGTCTCGGGCATCTGCGGGCCCCGCGGCGTCATGTGGCCCGTGCGGCCGCGCGTCGCGACCCACGCCTTCGCCGCGACCTGGCTCACCTTGCAGGACACGTCGCTCCCGCTCTCGCCGCCGCCGACGACGATGACGCGCTTCCCCGCGAAGTCCTTGCTGCTCCGGAACTGGTGGCTGTGGAGCACGTCGCCGTCGAAGCCCTGCACGAACGACACGCTCTTGGCCTCGGGCGCGTGCGTGTGCGTCCCGCTGCAGCAGACGACCGCGCGGTACTTCTTGACGAAGGACTTGCCCTTCTTGAGGTCCGTGACCGTCACCTCCCAGGTCCCGTCGCCCAGCTTGGCGACGGCGTCGACCTTGTGCTCGTACTTGATGAGGTCGACGATGCCGAAGTGCTCCGTGAAGCGGCGCTGGTAGTCGCAGTACTCGCTCAGCGTGTAGTGGCCGCACTGGACGAGGCCGTCCTTGGGCGGGAAGCAGGCGTAGCTCGTGTAGATCTTCGACGACGTGTGGCAGGCGTCCTCGTAGTTGTCCCGCTTGTAGAGGCCGCCGGGCCCGTCCTGGATCTCGTAGCAGTCGACCTCGAGCCCGGCCTCGTGGAGCTCTTTCGTCGCGACGGTACCGGACGCGCCCGTGCCGATGACGCAGATGGGGAGGTCCATGGCGATGGCGCAGGGGGGGCGACGGCGTTAGCGGGTCGGCGGTAGACCGCGTCGGCGTCGGCGGATGTCGAGGTGCGTGGTTGTCGAGAGAAAATCTCAGGTTTTGTGGCAGTTTCCGATGCGAAGTGGCAAAAAGGCTCATGCTGTCTGCGCGACAGAGACTCGCGCGCGCAAGCGACGCCGAACTCTTTCGTATGATGGCTGACGAGGCCCAGTCGTCGATCAAGGAGCTCATCAAAACGTATCACGAGCGGCCGACGACGATTTACGTGCGCCTCCAGTGTCGATTCCACACATAGGGCCAGGGGCCCCCATAGGAATTAAGTAACTAACTATCTTGGCCGGCCGGAGTACGGCTAGGGAGCTATCCTGGGCCGCCAGTACGCCTAGGGAAGGCCGTGGTCGTCGAACCTCGGCAAAATTGGTCGCCTATATCAAATCATGTCAACATAAGCTCGTTATATGTCGAAAAAAGGCGATTTGGAGGTGTTTGGGGGGCAAAGAGATCGGGGAAACGTGGTAATTGAACTTCAACATTGCACTTCAAGTGCAAACTTTTTGATTCAACGGATCTCGGGTTATCTCACGAAAATATTTGGAATCGACACTGTGCGCCTCGTCCTTCTTTTCGTCGCAATCGCCTATAACTACCTCCTCTTCGGCAAGCAGCTCAACCCCACACGCGACCTCTACAAGGAGTCCGGCGAGAAGTTCGTGAGCCGCTGGAAGAATGTCGCGTTCGGCTTCCAGATCATTGTCGCGTTCGTCCCGCTTCTCGGAGTCGGGACCGTGGCGCCGTTCCTCGTCGCCCGGCGCGAGGCCGCGGACGAGGCGCGCAAACTCGTCTCGCCCGGCGCCGCGAGCTTTGGCTCGCGCGTCGCCCCCTACGTCGCGATTTTGTCGGTGGAGACGGCCATCGGCGTCGGCGTCGTCGGCGTCGGAATGTCCGTCGCGAACCTCGCGATGCGCCTCCGCTGCTTCTGGGCCATGCTCGGGCTGTCCCTGATGAACGTCGTCGTCCACGCGGCCTTCTTCTGCGCCGTGGCGCTCATCTTCGAGGACCTGTCGTGGCTGAGCGTGACGCACATCCTGACGGTCCTGGCCGAGGTGAAGGCGTCGGGCTACGCGATCACGCCCGCGTACATGAAAGCCCGCGGCAAGTGGTTCACCTACCTGTCGAGCCTGCGCTACGCCTACGACGCCGAGTGCCGCCTCTGCGCGGGCCAGTGGTACCCGGAGGCGATGGAGTTCCAGCGCGGCGCGGGCGAGCACTGGAACAACGCGCCCTTCGACTTCGGGATGCTCGCGCTCTTCTGGCTCTTCTGGGTCCTCTGCGCGCTCGCCCTGGCCCACCACCGCTTCGGCGCGCGGAACGACGACGAGGCCCCCGCGGGCTACGGCGCGCTCGACGACCGGACGAAGTCCCTCGCCTCGGTATTCGGACTCGGAGCCTGAGTCACTCGCCTCGCTACTCGGACCGCTCGCATTAAAACAAAACAACATGGTATTTAGCCTTCGTCGGACGACGCGCCCTCGTCGAAGTCCGCGGCGCCTTTCACCGAAACGCCGACCGCGTCGACGAGCGTCGGCGAGCCGACCGGCGACACGACCGTGCCTTCGACGACCGGCGCCGCCGCGCCGGGCCCGGCCCGCTTGAGGAGCTTGGCGCCGACGCGCGCGGCGTGCTTGTGCGCGACGCCCTCGGGCAGGTAGACGTGGGTCGCGAGGTGCTCCTCGTCCTGGAAGAGGGCCTCGGCGACCTTGCGCGGCGAGTGGCGGTCGGACTTGGCGGCGCTCTTGGGCCGCTTCGTCGGCGACAGCACGGAACGCTCCATGGGCTTGCGCGCCTTGCCCTGGGTCGTGTCCTGGACCCACTTCGCCGAGGCGATTTTCGCCTTGGCCTGGTTGACCTCGGCCTTCCAGGCCTGGGTCTCGTCGTGGGCCCAGACGACGAACGCGTCGACGGCGCCGCGCCACGCCTCGGACACGCGGCCCGTCGCGCGGTCGCCGACCTTGACCCAGAGGCGCCGCGGGTAGCCGTCGCGGTAGTCCGTCATGGGCGTCACGGCGCGGCCGAGCGTCGCCCGGGGCCCGTCGAGGTCCGCCGCGTGGGACACGACGACGTCGAGCGTGCTCGACGGCGAGATCTCGCGCTCGCGGACCTTCACGGACCCCCGGAGCTTCCAGAGCAGCTCGCCGCCGACGTCCTCGGGCACGGGCTGGGGCGGCGCCGCGGCCACGGTGCGGTGCGCGCACTTGACCTCGGCGAAGACGTACCTCGCGGTCTTCGGGAGCTTGAGGCGGACCGCGCGGACGAGCGTGACGTGCAGCACGTTCGGCGGCTGGAGCGCCAGCGCCCGGCGCCGCTCCTTGGCCTCCTCCGGCGACGCGCCCATCAGGCCCAGCTTCGCGGCCCACTGGGCCTCCTCCTCGAGGGGCAGCTCGCGCGGGTTCAGCCGCGGGTCGAAGACCCACTGTAGGCGGAGTTTCACCTTCTGGCGGACCTCCTCGCCGTCGCTGTCGCTCTCCTCCGCCGCGGCGTCGCGCTCCTTGCGGGCCTTGGCCATGCTCTGGTAGGCGCCCTTGGGCGTGTAGCGCTGCACGGACGACTTGCGCTGCGTCGGCGCCTGGGCAGCAAAAGGGTGCGAAATTCCCAACTTCAAAGGCTCCTATCTCGGTCGCTTTCCGCTCGTTTCGGCTGATTTTTGGACGAGCGATCATCTCTCGGAGCGCTCTCGAAGCGTGGGTGCTGTTTCCGAAACGCGCGCGCGCGGAACACTCACGTTGAAGCGACGTTGAATCACCCTTTTGCTGCCCTGGTCGGCGCGACGGCGACCTTGGACGGCCGGCGGAAGAAACTTTTCTGCACCTTCGTCGGCGCCGTCCGCGCCGTGGACCGGAACTCGCGGCCGTGGTAGGCCTCGCGCGCCGGGTGGGGAGACGTGGTGTGCTCCCAGGGCGGCTGCACGAGGAGCTCGCGCGACGACAGCGTCGGCTCCGCGAGCTCGCCCGACCACAAGTAGCGGTCGCTCGGCCGCTTCCGCTTCTGCTTCGTGGGCGCGCCGCCGAAGGCGCCCGTCGCCGCCGCGGCGGCGTGGAAGTGGGACCGGGACCGCGCGGACTGGGAGTGCAGGTCGGGGGATAGGGCGTCGGGCGACGTCGGAGAGACCGGCGACGGCGCGGAGCCCGGCCGCGCGGGCGGCGGCGGCTCGTCGAGGCCGAACCAGCCCTCGTGCGTCGCGCCGGCGCGCGCGTCGAGGACGTCGCCGAGCTTGACGAGGGCGACGCCCATGACCGCGTCCTTGTCGTCGTCGTCGCTGTTCGTGTCGTCGACGACTTCGACTCGTAACGCCGCGCGGCCCGCGGCGTCGAGCTTCACGGTCATGGCCTCGTCCCACTTGGGGTGGAGAACGTGCTTGAGCGTCTTGGACCGCGCGGCGTCGCCACCCGCGCGGAAGACGCACTTCGGCGCGCGCCGCTTCTGCTTGCGCCCGAGCTCGGGCTTCGGCGCCTCTCCGAAGACGTAGTCGCCCGGCGACACGCGGCAGTAGGGGTCCGCCGACGCCGCGACGTTGGGCACGAGCACGTCGGCCGCGTGGGGCCGCACGGCGGCCTCCAAAACGACGAAGTTGAGGCGGTTCGGCAGGCCCTTCAGGGTGGCCGTCGCGAAGGGGCTGCCCTTCTCGCGCTCCCACCACTTGTCCTCCTCCTCCTCCTCGGGCTGCGCCGCCGCGTCCGCCGCCTCCCGCTCGCGCCGCGCTTGCTCCGCGGCGGCCAGCGCCGCCGTGCGGCCCTTGTTGGACGGGCGGCCCGCGTCGTAGGTCCAGTGCGTCCAGACCTCGAGCGACCCGCGCTCGCCCTCGGGCGTCTTCTTCGCCGCGTTGAGCAGGCCGTCCTTCGTCGCCGCGAGCTGCAGGCTCGCGCGCCGCGCGACGCCCTCCTTGCCCGTGCGCTCGCGGCCGCCGAGCTCGAACCAGCGCCGCTCGGGCGGACCCGCGAGATCGCCGACGCGGACCTCCGCGCGGCCGAGGAAGTCGTAGTTCTTGTAGGCGCCCAGGAGGAAGCGGTCCTCGTCCTTGACCTCGAAGGTCACCACGGCATCCGCGTCGGCGGCGTCGAACTCGAAGCGCGCGTCGTCCCAGACGGGGTTCAGGTTCGATTTGACCGTCGCCGTCGTCACCGTCTCGCCGCCGAGGCTCACGGACACGAGGGGGTCGCTCTTCGGCGCGTCGAGGAGCGCCCAGTCCATGGCCTTGACCTCCTTGGCGCGCACGACGCGGACGACGAGGCAGTTGGGCCACTCGGCCTCGTCGGGTCGCAAATCGTCCTCGGGGATCGCCGCGACGAGCGACGGCTCGCGCGCCCAGTAGCAACAGACCCGAAACCGTAATTCGTCGTCGCCGATCCAGGCGTAGGTCGGCGCCTCGCCCCGGTCGCTCGCCCATGTTCCTTCCGCGTTTCCGATCTCCGTCGACGAGAGCAGCGTCTTTTCGCGGAGGGCTATCCTTAGCGGCGCGTCCTCGTCCTCGACGAAGAGCGCCACCTCCTCGTTCCACGCGAGCGCCGCCCCCAAAGTCTTCGTCTTCCGCGTGCTGTGGTCGCAGGCGACGACGGCGTAGCAGTTCGCTTTGCGCTTCCAGAGGGCGCCTGAGCCGAAATCAACCACTGTCCTGACCAAACTTCAAACCTCTCTAGAAGTCGATTCGGCTGATTTTTGGACGAATCGATCGCTCTCGTCGAGTTCTCGAAGCACAGCAGAAAGCCTCGCGTCGAAACCGTCGCTCACAGTGAAGTCGGGTTGAAGATTTGATTCCGGCCCGGGAGCGCGCCCTCGACGCGGCAGACGCGGACGCGGAGCTCGTTCCGCTTCCCCGGCGCGTCGCGGCCCGGCTGCGCGGCGGCCCAGGACGGCGGCAGCGCCGCGTTCGCGCGCCACAGGGCGGCGACGCGCACGCCGCCGTAGTCCTTGCCCTCGGGCCGCGTGCCGTCGAACTCCGCGAGCGAGAGCCACGCCTACGAAGCAGGGAGGTTTTCTGCCGTGCTTCGAGAACTCGACGAGAGCAAACGATTCGTCCAAAAATCAGCCTCGGTGACGATGTGTCATCTCGGTCAAACTCTCTCGAACATCGTCGCGGGACGCCGCGCCGCGCCTCCGCGCCGTCCGCGCGCTCCGCGGCGAACGCGTCCGCGAAGCCGAGCAGGTCCGACGACAGCACGTCCTTGTCCCGGAGCTCGAGGCAGACGGGCGCCGCGCCGTCGTCGACGCGCACCGTGAGGATCTCGTCCCAGACGGGGTCGCACCTACCAAGCGCGACGGGGGTCGGATTTCTTCACATCACATTCACGCGACAAAACACTCCCGTCGCTCGACGCTGGGTCGCACGTGTTGTAGACGACTTTGCTCTTGGCTTCCTCGCCGTCGCAGCGCAATATCGCAAAGGGGTCGCTGCTGTTCTCCGTGAGCAGGTTCCGGTCCAGGGCCCGCAGGTGCCGCGCGCGGCGGAGCGCGACGACGAGCTCGTTTTTGGTTTCGCCGGGCTCGCAGAGCGGGAGCTCCAGGAGTCGGCTCGGGTCGTGGACCCAGTGGAGCGTGAGCTGGATTTCCCCCAAGTCCTTGGAGGCGTCGCCCTTTTTGCCGAGGAGCTTGTACCAGCGCTTCGTCGGCCGGCGGTCCGCGAGGGGCGCGCAGGGGATGTCGGCGACGCCCATGAAGTCGTGCGACGACACGACGTCCTCGTCGAAGACGGTGCATTTGACGGACTCGTCGCCGCCGTCGAGCGGCAGCGCGAAGCGCTCGCCGTAGTAGGGGTCGAGGCAGCGCTTTTTCGTCGTCGACTTTTCTTTGGCGCCGCAGCACTCGAGGACGACGAAGGGGTCGCTCGAGTTCTTGCTGAGGAGGTTCACGTCCATGACCGGGAGGTTGCGGCACCGGTGCAGCGCGACGTGGAGCGCGTTCGGCCGCTCGCTCGGCACGTCGACGGCGAGGGCGACGGCGGGCGCGTCCTCGGGCTCCTCGGGGATTTCTTCCTTGTCCTTCTTGCCGCCGCCGAACCAGGACTTGCGCTTCTTTGGGGGGGCGGCATCGTCCTTCTTTTTGCTGCCGAAGAGGGTGAAGCGGCTCTTCCTCGGCGCGTCGTCCTTTGGTGGCTCATCGTCCGGTTCTTTCGCCGGCGGCGGCGGCCGCTTCGTGAACCGCCGCAGGAACGACATGCTCTCTAGATGGGCTGCCTCATAGCGCGGCGGTCTGGGCGCTTCATCTCCGGCCTGCGATCTTCTAGCCGAGGATCTTTTGTCCGTCCGGCCACATCTCAGGAGCAGCAAAAGATCGACTCGTCGAAGCTCGCGCCTCAATCTCAAGCTGTGCGCCTCGCCGCGTCCAATCCAAGACGCTGCGCGCGCTCACCCCGCATCCCCTCGCAGATCATGAAGTCTGCTATCCTCGCTCTTGCCATCTCCGGCGCCTCGGCGTACGTCGCGCCCCAGACCAAGGTCTCGGGCTCCGCGCTCGCCGCCACCAAGGACGAGGTCGTCGCGCTCGCCGAGGCGAACCCCGACTTCCTCGGCCAGGCCATCGGCTTCTGGTGCGTCTCGCCCCTCGACCCCGCCGCGGCCGCGCGCGCGCGGCTGCCGGGCCGCCGGGGCGCCGGGGCCGGCCGGCGCGGCGGCCGCCGGCCCGCGGAAGGCCGAGCTTTCCGCGGTCCGGCGGCCCG